TATTGATTGATTTGTCAAATCCTGTGCTTTGCATTACATTCCTTTTTTTATTTAAAATATGTACATAGTTAATATATGAAAAGAAAAATCACTTAAAAATAATAAACATACTTATACCACAAATAATCTATATTAGGACCTGACAAGTTTAAATCCCATATATTCGACTTTCCATTCTAGCATTTCTTTCTTAAACTCTACATTGACCATCTCACAATATTTTCTCAAAATTTTCTCCAGTTCTCGAAGTAAGTCATCAGCATCTACTAAAACAATCTCCTCTCCAGTTATGTTCTTAATTAAATCATAAAGAAACCTTGATTCTTTTAGCCAAACTTTTTCAGGAAAAAAAATGTCATACCTTTCAAAATTAGGTACGCAGGCATTTTCCCAAGCTTCATATGTAGAATTCGCAGCTTTATAAAAAGACTTTACGGATTTTTCTGGATTTCTAATTATGAATGTATGTTTAAATTTTAAAAGAATTTCCTTGGATCCTAATGGATTTCCTTCTAGGTTTCCATCTAAAAAATTGGATGCATGATCCTTCGCAAAAACTCTTAAGGTATGTGTTTTATTATCATTATAGTAATGAGGGACAAGAATTTCATTAAGAGTAGCCGAGAAATGATGTACAAAAGTGATCGGATCAGTAGGTTTAGGTAATGGAATTTGATTCAAAAAATAAAAGTTGTTGGTCACATAAGCACGACTAATTAAATTAATTGGTTCATGGATAACATGGAATTCTTGAGGACGTTGAAGAAACGGTCGTTCAAAAACAGTAGAGAGAGATCTTGAATGTGACCAAAGAAAAATGGGTCTTTGATCCGCCATAAATGAGCAAATTCAATCTTATCCTCTTTTATTAAGTTGTGTAATAAATTAACTAAGAGACTCTTAGTAATCTAAAATAGGAATATAGAAGTTGGACAGTGCAGATTTGCCTGAATTTAGATTTAATTTGTTTAATTTTTAAGTTTGCCTAGAACTAACTTAATTTGCTTGAAATTATATTTTAAAATAGTCAACAATTCAAAAATTGTTTACCCTTATTCTTTAGAAAATTGAAATTTAAAAAACACTACGAAACCTAACATGGTTTAATTAACTTTGTTAAAAAAGACACATTGTTTTTTAATTCTGTAATGAAATTACAGGGTGGTATCAAATATCAATTACTGTCGATCCCTGTATGTCTCGTACAGAAATCAAAATTGAAAAAAACATGCATAATTCTTGTTTTTTATTATTTCCTGAGAATATTTCAAATACTATATATCTTATCGATATGGATCTTTACACTTAAGTAAACATTCCTTTTGTTAGGTAAGATACTTATTATGGAGATTGAACTAGATGATTATTCAATGATGTTGATGCTTCATCCGTTAGGCCGAGGAACGTTATGTAGCAGTTTAAAAATGCTGCGTAACAGTTTAATATCTATCGCTCGATTCGTCTAAAAATTCAAAGAACACTGTGCAGCAGTTTAGTTGAGCTCAAAGAACGCTGTGCAGTAGTTTATTAGTTCAATGCTGAGAAAATTAAATAAATAAATAAATAATAAAAATATATTTAATAGTTAGATTATTCTTACTATATTTTCTTTATTTTA